CAGTTGAAGACTTCGTTCAACTGAGGAAACCGACCGTCACCTTCAAATGAGACCTTCCGTTTGGCAGTCTCCGCAAAGTGCTGTAACACTGCAGACAATATTACTTCCGCTTCGATCATAGCAAAACCTGGAAGGCATCGAAGCTTGCCAAAATTCCTTAGGGTCCCTATGCGCTGCGTCCGAGGAGTCTTGAAGCGAGCAAGGGGCTAGTCCACAAGTGTCACCTTCACCGGAAATACTGAGCTACCTGCTGCTTGTGACGTGCTTCAAGCGATGGCCGCAGCTCTCTCTGTTCCCGTGATCGCCAATGCTGGTCACGACACCGGCCCACCTGAACCACATTCAGGTTCGCATTTTCCTGATGTGGTGCCCCAGCAAACTGCTTCAGACTCGAACCTCCCTGAAATATAACTACGTCCCACTCAAGTGCGCATCTAACCGCTAAGAATGAGGCGGCCCCCAAAATGCTACAACCACTCTACTCGACAGACAAAGGTTTTTCTCTTGTGAGGTTTGTGTTCTTTCAATAGCCGGTAGTAAATTTCGTATGGATAGAATTGTGTTTTCATGGGTTTTTTTTTCAGATATTCATTAGCAGTTTTGTTAAATTGTTTTGCGTTGGTGACCACTCACTTTCTTGTTTTCTGAACCTTCTGACGAGAATTTTTAATGAACCCAGCACCTAGCAGTTGATACAATAATAGCTTACTACCGCTGAAAGTTTTAAGAGCGGGAACATGTCTCGGTAGTCCTGCTTTCAGTGCACAGTCTGGTAAGCTTGGGAACGTTAGTGGTGCTGTTGTTGTTTTGCATATGTTGGTGTTGTAAAAACACGTGGCTGGTCGGCTTGCTTGTTTGCAGCAGAAGGCCGTGATAACATAATCCAGCAACATAGTGATTCTACAGGACTGGTAGACCTGCGTAAATTGGCTTGTACCACTAAGCGGAAAGAAGCAAGGGACAAAGAAGATTTACATGCGGATGTAAGTGCAGTGGTCAGTCATGTACTCTTTGCCCTCATACTCTTTTTCGCAGTGCCATATCACACTTTCTGATGAATCAACGAGCCCCGCCGTGGTGGTCTAGTGGCTCAGGTACTCGCCTGCTGACCCGCAAGCCACGGGACTGAACCCCAGCTGTGGCGGCAGCATTTCCGATGGAGGCGGAAATGTTGTAAGCCCGTGTGCTCAGATTTGGGTGCGCGTTAAAGAACCCCAGGTGGTGGAAATTTTTGGAGCCCCCCACTACGAACAAGCCCATACTGGTGCCCCTAATGATTCGGCAGTAAGGCGATGTATTTCTGAACTTTACGTCACGGGCATAACACCCGTACATAGTTGCTTCATTTTGAAAGCGTAAGAATGCAAGAACGCGCGGGTACGTATATTGAAGTGCTATGTAAAAAAATACATAGACAAAATGAACCCAGGGCCCCTTCCTACAGCGTACCTCATAACCATATTGCGCTTTGGGTACGTACAGTCCTAGGAGTTATTGTTATTATTGAGATCAGTTAGTACTACAGTATTCAAATTGCAGAATGTTCACCTACTACGACTATACCACTCCCAGCAGTGTGAAACGAGTCGGATTGACTGGGCTTACGTGTGACAATTTCCCGCGAGGATTCAGGTGGAAGAGATCAGCTGTCGTGCGTACAAAACTGTCCTCGCATGACGAACTTCTTTGTGAGGCTACATTTTAAAATGAGCGAAAATTGTGCCAGCCATTTCGTTGTTATGCTGTTTTTATCTCAGGGCTAAAGAAGCAGTATGACTGACAAACGCCATGGCCACGAGTGGTTCCCGCCTATCGGTATGTACAGCGGACTCCCCGCTAAACGTGCATAAATATATAACAAATGCTCTCGGAGTTAAGCGAAAACCAAAGCGACTTTATAAACCGCGATAACTATTGTAGCTTCTGCCTCTGTTATGAGGTTACAAAGCAACACAATATTAACAATAATTTGCTTCTTACTTCTGAACCGACATATTGTTACGGAGATGAAGTAAAGGAAGAGGAAAGACCACAAGCAAGAATCACAATGGCTTGTCCAAAGTTGTCCAAAGTTGTCGACGACCTCCTTTGATCGTGTGCCACAGCGCATAAGCTATCTACCACCTACCACCTACAAACTTATGACCTAACTGAACGTCTCAACCAAACGCTCACAGAGATGCTTTCGATGTACGTCTCCGAAGAGATGATCGTGACTGTGACACCACCTTGACCTATGTGACTTTCACATATAAATCCTCTGGACATGGCACCACGGAATTCTTACTTTTTTATCTTTTGTATGGTCGCGACCCCGTATTGCCATATGAAACCACCTTGCCTCTCAAGCCATCTGCTTCTGAGTACGCTCGCGAAGCCATTGATCGGGCTCACATGGCTCGTCAAGTTGCCCAGTATTGTCTCACCAGGTCACAGGATATACAAAAAGCCCGCTACGACAACCGGCATAGTAATATAACGTTTGCCCTAGGTGACCGCGGGCTTCACTGGTCACTGTGTCGCCGCGTAGATCTCTCCGAAAAACTTTTGTCCCGATACGCAGGACCCTACGTGGCCTTACGTTGAAGGGGTGGTGGCGCCAAACTTCGAGGCTATCCCAAGCTTGTTGTGGATTTCCTCTGTATACAAGGACTCTCCACACGAAGGGTCGGACCCTACAAGCAAATCCAATATATTTTAATTCACCTCTAAAAGTGTAGATGAATGCTCACTCTCGCGATCTAGGCCCATCGCTTGCGCAGCAGCGCTGACGTTTCAGAATAGGAGAAAACGGCAGTTGTGACGTCACAACAGGTCTGCACTGACGTGAGTGGCCTCCCCCATCTCCGAAACGAGCGTACCCAACGTACAAGCAATGCAGCGGTTGCTGTATTACTCGCATAGTTTCGATCACTTCTTGGCTAAGTGCTACGCATCGAAACCCGCGAAGGCGTTCTGTTTTGCTGGTGCTTGTGTAGCACCTGTGAGTGAGAGCAGATGAAATTCAGCACGATTCGCGTCACAGCCTTGAGTGATCACGTGGCCAAGCCACCTATGCATCGACGTCACTGCTCAACTCGGCGCCGTGAAACCGAAACCGAAAATGGTCCACATAAGTAGATCAATATCGAAATATTTAGCGGAAATACACGAATCTTGGTGCAAGCATCATGCTGCTTGGAGCTGAAGGAAACACTTACAGCAAAGAACACGCATGCCGCAAATTTGGTGGCACCACCCCCTTTAAGTTAGCGACGTCAACTACGGGATAGCGCCATTGCACTCCAATACGTCATCAAGCTCTTCACTTGTTGAGATTGTGCATATTTCGCGCATGAAACTCTACTTCTGCCGCACTTCTCAGAACTCGCGCCGAGATGGTGCTACAACGCCCGGGGTCCTGTTATGGAGATGAAGTAAAGGAAGAGGAAGGACACAAGCTGCTGACAGGCGCGCGAGATGCCAATCAGCCATTGTGATTCTTGCCTGTGGTTTTTCCTGTGTAAATGCATTTTTACAGACGTCTCCTATTCCGTAACACATTATCTTAAAAACAAAATAAACCACAAAAAGGGCATGTTTAAATCAGTCACCCATACACCCCTGTGTGGAACAAACTCCCACATGAAAATCGTTCTGAAGGATAACACAAAATGACCTAGCCACATTTTAGTTGGACGTAGTGAATATGTGTTGGGAAAACCAGAAAAAGCCCTCGCAGATGTAAAGCTTATAGTGGTCGGACTCCATGTGTGGTGCGTGGGCATCGGACAACATCATTATTGTTGCTGATTGAAGTTAATAAAATGAAAATGCTCACGAGCTCGATAGAACATGAAAATCACATGGTTGCGTATGCCCCTATACCATAGTCAACCTAACGCGGAAAACATCATGTTGCTCTCTGCCAATTGTGCAAATCACGCATAAACTTTTCCATCGAAAGTGTTCGGCAAATAATGGGCTTTCTCGTAATTTTTGAAATCAGAGGTACTGCAAGTTTTACACAATATGCGGGGCTTCGTAGTACCTCCGGGATCGGTCCACCTGTCAATAAGCGATGAAGTCACGAGGTGACATCACGTTGTATCTGGTCACACGTATGTCATTATTATGTCCAGAAAAGGCAGTCACAGTAGGTCGATAATGTCGTTAACGTCACAAATTTTGGCAATCTGGCGATCTAGATAACATATTAGGATGATATCTTCGCACCTCAATCTTCTTGTAACCCAAGAGCTGGCGCCGCCGACGCCGCATGCTAAGTTGACTTCTTGCGTTTGATCAGACATCAGTCTTTCCTTTTATTACATTTTAAAAATACAAAAAATTGACTTCAGATCATGGCCACAATCTGAAGTTGATTGCAATGGTACAATGTGCAATGTTGGCAGATATGCATGTTAAATGTCAAAGTCACTTGCGGAGCTGTCAGACTGACATGGTCTATACATATTGTAACGATGTTGAAGGACTCGGGGTATAACAAAACGTATTTATTAAAGGGCGAACCTGTGCCCACAACTCAAACGGACTATGGTCGTAGCACGTTACAGCAGAACGGCAAGATGTCTTCCTCTTCTACTTCTTCAAGAAGAGTCCCAAGCGCGTGGCACACATCAGCAGGGGCCAGCTGGGTTCTCGTGCTATCATCATCGTCTCTGCGCAACACTAGACGGCGCCCATGTATGTCTCTGTGCGCGTGGTGATGGGCGCGTTATTTGAATGCAGTCACTATGTCGTGGCAATATTACATTGACGACGTCCCTAATTCACTAGGTTTCTAACAAAAACTAGTTTATCGCTGCCTGCCCGACACAGCTGTAGTCTTTGTGTTTAGAGAAGTATCGAACGACAAGGGCAAATGATCGCCGATAGTCTAGTAGGTAGGTGATGTCGACTGCAGCATTGATTATCGGCTTGATGCGTGAACTGGTAGGGGCCACCGCTTAGATTGTACAACACACCAACACGTAGAGCTTTGGTCACGGTTCACTTACTGAAATGCTGTATCCTAGACGAGACTTCTGGTCAAGTGCGGGGATCATGTTGAGCGCTTCGTTGAAGACGTCAGCCGCGACGCTTTGGTCTCCACTGCACCTGACCACGTTGAAAAGTGATCGGGGCGCCGTGTGTGTATGGGTCTTGATGATGATGTAATCGACGTTGGCGGCCACCTGGTCCAAGCTGAAGTGATCCAGCCGTGACTTCACCGGTGGAACGCTAATCATGATCGGAACTTTGGCTGTTAGCCTTAGCTTGCGGATGAGTTGCGGGAAAAGCCTGAAGGTGCCAGGGGAGGGGTTGCATGGGTCTCCTGGATAGTCCCAGTCTATATTCACTCCCTGCATCAATCATGAATGCGCTTTTCGTAAACAGGGACAATATGAAAACTGGAACTTGCTAAGGTTAAAGCTTGGGCGAGTTGGTTCAAATACATGATTAAAAACACAGCGCAAACAACGGCTGGAAGAAAGGAAGAGACAGGACAGAGCGCTGACTTACAACTGATCTTTATTAGGAAATGCGAACAAATATATATCATGGCAGGCAAATAACACGTGTCCACCACAATATCAAAAAATTCGCACAAGCGTCACCATCACCATATCGCTACTGTCTCACCGCACACGTGTTCATCCTACAGATAAGAAGTCCATCTCTTTTTGAGAGAGGGTTACAGATGCCCTACTTACACATTGATCTTTCAGACGTGCAATTTCAGCCGCTTCTATTATCTCCCTAGTTTTTCTTTCTTTGTGCCTGGCTAGGATTTTAGTGTCGCGAAACTGCGGTGTGCACCCACAATCCCTACAATGGATGCCAAGGTGGCCGCTAATAGTATTTTTCACGTTGTACTCGTGCTCCTTCAATCTTGTGTTTACGCACCTTCCTGTTTGGCCCACGTATATCCTTCCACAGGACAGCGGGATCGAATAAACTACATTTTCCGCGCAAAGTATGTAGCTAAATTTATGATTTACTGCGCAGAGCTGCGGCACTCTTGCGGGTTTATTCACTTGCGCACATATGGACAACAGCTTTATCGGCGCAGAGAACAGCACTCTGACGTTGGCATGCTTCCCTATCTTTTTCAAATTGTGTTTCAAAAGTGTACCGTTGTGCCGTATATGCATGGGATCGCACACAATTTGAAAAAGATAGGGAAGCATGCCAACGTCAGAGTGCTGTTCTCTGCGCCGATAAAGCTGTGTCCATATGTGCGCAAGTGAATAAACCCGCAAGAGTGCCGCAGCTCTGCGCAGTAAATCATAAATTTAGCTACATACTTTGCGCGGAAAATGTAGTTTATTCGATCCCGCTGTCCTGTGGAAGGATATACGTGGGCCAAACAGGAAGGTGCGTAAACACAAGATTGAAGGAGCACGAGTACAACGTGAAAAATACTATTAGCGGCCACCTTGGCATCCATTGTAGGGATTGTGGGTGCACACCGCAGTTTCGCGACACTAAAATCCTAGCCAGGCACAAAGAAAGAAAAACTAGGGAGATAATAGAAGCGGCTGAAATTGCACGTCTGAAAGATCAATGTGTAAGTAGGGCATCTGTAACCCTCTCTCAAAAAGAGATGGACTTCTTATCTGTAGGATGAACACGTGTGCGGTGAGACAGTAGCGATATGGTGATGGTGACGCTTGTGCGAATTTTTGATATTGTGGTGGACACGTGTTATTTGCCTGCCATGATATATATTTGTTCGCATTTCCTAATAAAGATCAGTTGTAAGTCAGCGCTCTGTCCTGTCTCTTCCTTTCTTCCTGCCGTTGTTTGCGCTGTGTTTTTAATCATGAAAACTGGAAGTTTAGCAAAATGAAGATTATCAAAGCATGATAATGACTACTGCATGAAATATAAGCGGTCAACACGGCGTTTACGGCACTCCGTGAGGCAACATTTCGGTGCCGCCCCATGGGTATTTCCAATCTGCTTATGAGAGGCAACAAGCTGGCGTAGACGCGTCTGCATGTCTTGTCTGCGGTGACTGCTGGATCGCGAACGTCTGTACTACAAGGTGTCTAGCACGCCGAAAATAGATTTGTGGGATGCTTAGCACTTTCGAATAATGATGAAGCGAACGGTAACTTGGATCGTCTTTAAAGCATCTAGGTGAATTTGCCGGCTGAGATGCTCAACTATATGATGGACCATACGCTTCTGGATGAATGGCTAAGTCAATGTTCAACTTGATGCTTCATTTCTGTACAACTTTTTGGTTGTGCTTCTGTCCGACTTGACAGCAAAATGTGGCCCCACCGTGGTGGTCTAATGGCTAAGGTACTCGGCTGCTGACACGCACGTCGCGAGATTGAATCCCGGCTGCAGCGGCTGCATTTCAGATGGAGGCGGAAATGCTGTAGGCACGTGTGCTCAGATTTGGGTGCGCGTTAAAGAACCCCAGGTGGTCAACATCCCAATCGCATTGTTATTAGCGCAGCTTAATAAACAAGTCGGTTTCTAGAATTAAGTATCTATGCATTTACTAAATAGAAATCATCGCCTCAGCGCTTTGTATAGACCGTTAAACAGCGAAAGCTGAAACGTGCGGCCCCGTTATTTAGCACTGGGTTCTACTCGATGCCGCGCTGAAGCCCTTTACTGGTAATGGTCATACGTACACGCTTCTTAATGGGGTTAGACACACGTTTAGCTTTGGTTTACCATAGTGTTTATTTCGCATGCAACACATTGTGCCTCGAGCGGTCAATGTCCTCGAGGAATGTAATGAGCGTCTAAATGCGTTTCGCAAAGTGCTAACTACAGTGGCTCTCAAACCACAAGTCATCCCCGACGTCACAATTGAAGCCAAGGTGCCGCTGGAGGAACTCCCGTCGAAAGCTGGCGTTCGCCGCAGCAAACGAGATCCCGCAGTCGTCACGTTGACGCTGTTGTGCCATCTATAGAGAAGCGTTCGACGTCGCGAGCTAACTCGGTGGTGTGGTTTCCAAGATCCGTCCTCCGCCAGCGCTTCCATTGCTGCTGGCGATTCCGCACGGCTTGGAAGGCTGCCGGATCATCGATACGCGGTTGCTGCCGACAGTCAGCCTCCCGGGCCTGTTTCTGCGCCCAGACTGCACCATCGTCCATGCGAATGCGAGCTCTTACGTTTCCACTGCCGGTGTTCTAGTGTTCCTTATAGCTTACTCACGTGCAAGCTCTCAGTGAAACGTATGTGAGCGCGCTCGGCCTATGACCTAAGCGATAACATTTATAAAGAAGATCGCTCATGACATCGATGTCGAATGGCTTTTTCAGGGGCGAAGCTCCTCAAAGCGGCTCCCGTTCGTCCCTCATCACAGTACGCAACATGTCTTGCGCTTTGACCTGCAAGGTGGTGCGGTGGGAGATTTCTCCTGCGCGTTGTTGAACAATATAAAATTCACAGCGTGCGCTTTAACTAAACGACGAATTTTTCTGTCTCTCGTTCCCCATTAGCAGCCATTGGCCGGCCCATTGAGCACTATCTGACAAGAAAGAGTTGCTACGTTATACTCGCTCCTTGGTTTTAGAAAGGTTTAGTGAGCGTTGCACCACAGTGCCACGAATACAGTGAACTACAAAATGAACTCTGGGTGGTTAAAAGTGGGAAGTAGACACGAAGGGCAAGCCGTAAGAAAGTGTGCGTGTGCCACCTCTCGATTAGCCCTTGGAATGTCCGCTGGATGGCGGTGTTTCTATATGGGGAATATGTGATGAAAAGATGCGAGATGGTGGCACTTGGAGTGTTGACAAAATGGACGAACGGACACACAGACAGATGCATGGCCGGACGCACGGATGGCTGCACGAATAGGTGGACGCATCGATGGACGCAGGGGTGGATGCATGGACGAACGCAGGGACGAACGCATGGATAGACGTGTGGAAGCACGAACAGATGCACGCACGGGCGGGCGGATGGACGCACGGACGGTCACTTAGACGGACGCATGGGCGGAAGGAACGGAAACAAAAACGAATGGACGGACAGATGCTTCACCCCACTCTTCATCCTTCACCCGGTGGATATGCGGCCACTTGGTTTTCTTTCTCTTAGCCATAAACAGCCTTCGCTCTAAAAAGAAACACTGCCTAACATTTGCGTATTGATGTTGCCCCTAAAATATGCTTAGTGTTTGTTTTTTGATTGACAATGCCAAGTTTAAAGGGAGCCACGAGATTAGGATGATTGTTTGTTGGGCAAGAGGTTAAAGTTTCGCTGTTTGGTTAAATCGTTAATCAGACCCAACAGACACATTTACCAAAAGTTTTGCGTTAAACTATTAAAGAAAATGGTCTTTTAATATCGTCATTGCGACGGCAGTGCAGGTGCGTTTCTCTTGTTCTGTCCCCCCCCCCCCGGCAGACACCACAAAAATCAGTTTGAGAGCTTCGCAGCAGTGTTTTATTGCCATGCAAAAAGCCTAACTTCATGTCAACACACGGTGCTTTTTTTGCAAAACTTTTTACGCGGTTAGTAGTTGGTCACGTACAGTGTTAGTGCAGGTTACGAGGGATAATATAATGGTTCTAGTTATAACTATGGTCAATGTAAGCACGGGGTCACTTACCGTAAACAGCTCATTCCACTTTCCAATCTCGTCCTTCACCTTCGCTGCCAAGTACGCCCAGTCGGTGTGCACAAGTACGAACGACAAGTTGGTGCTGTCTTCGCGCGCTCCTCCAATCGTGAAGTAGATAGGTACGTATTTGCCGCGGTGAGACAGCTTACCCGTGGACCTCATGTCTCTCCAGGCTATGAGATATTGAACCGCAGTCGGGTACTTCCAGACTAGCGTGCCTGTCGCCCAAATGGCGTACCCATGGATGACCATAGCAGAGCAGTAGTACACCGGCAGGAGGGTGAGCACGTATGTGTCCTGGAGCCGCCAATACCTGCGAACGCCAGTGTGGCCGTCAGGTTGGGGCATTAGATAAACCATATTTATCCTCCAATGAAAGAAAAGTATTAGGTAATCTTGCAATAGCGGTGCCATGACCGAGTAACAGTGGGTTCGACCTAGTTTCTGCTGGCTTGACTTCAGTGACAGGTTTTCAAGGCATTGGAAGGCAGGCTATGTGAAACGTAGAGTTATATGGCTAGAAGGAGTGTTTTCGTGACTGTGGAAGTTGAATGAATAATTATGTTTCAATTTGACTCCTCATGATAGCAAATGTCTTAGCATTGCCTGCATGTCTTCCTTTGCAATTGCTTGATTAGTAAGTTCGAGATTGATTGATGATTGATATGTGGGGTTTAACGTCCCAAAACCACCATATGATTATGAGAGACACAGTAGTGGAGGGCTCCGGAAATTTCGACCACCTGGGGTTCTTTAACGTGCACCCAAATCTGAGTACACGGGCTTACAACATTTCCGCCTCCATCTGAAATGCAGCCGCCGCAGCCGGGATTCGAACCCGCGACGTGCGGGTCAGCAGCCGAGTACCTTTGCCACTAGACCACCGCGGCGGGGCAAGTTCAAGATTATCGATGGCCTGATTGGCATGGCTTGAATTCACAAGGTCTTAGCAGTTTGTTGATTTGAGCATTCTGATACAACAATGACTCAATTGACAATGTTTCAATTAGCATAGTCTTCTTTACCAACACCCCATAGTAAAATCAATAATTAACTTTCATAAGCAAGTCTTAAGAAGGCGAAGGAGACTTAACACCTCCGATGTTGTAAGGGTCCAAGAGTGCGCAGTCGCAGTGATTGCCGCGTGCAGAATAAAGACATATACGACGTGTTTTTAAAGCTGGATCCGTATATAATGCTTTCAGAAATATTTTGGATCAAGCATACACTCACTAGTTAGTACACTCAGTAGTCAAATTTGAAAAGACGCTTTCAGCTACTAGTGAGCATTCAGCCGAGTACCTTAGCTGATTCCCGCTATGACAGTGTTACAACTATCAAACGCCATTTTTCATTGTACAAGTTCTCCTATATAAATTTATAGCGAGAATTCAGCTACCAGTGAGAATTCTTACCCACTAGACCACCACGGCGGGGCAAAGGCATAAGGTACTTCACATCTAAACTCACAGGGTGCTCTGTGAGTTGACCTAAGACTCAAATCATATCTACATCATGTTCTTCCTAATCGATGTAATTGTAGTGAATAAGAAAGATGTTGATACCATCAGGTCAGCTATCATCAGCACAAAAAAATGCACGAGATCGGCGATCAAGCACCGTCATTTGGGTTCGCCTGCCTTCCTTTAGAGCTACCACCCGCTTGCTGAGTCCTTCAATAAACCCCCTTTACATTTGGTGGATCGTGCTGGGTAACTGCATCACCTACACCCTGGAACTCCGATCCGGCACCCTGCCGTCGACCATGCAAGTTGACGCTGCCCAACATACAGCACATCTCGCAGCTCCTACTTGCCCCGGCCCGGTTCACCAGCGAGACCCCCCAATCTTTTCGGGTGCCGAAGACCAGGACGTCGAGGACTGGCTGTCGTCCTACGAAAAAGTCAGTGGACCAAACAGGTGGGAGGACGCTGCTAAGTTGAGCACCGTCAACTTTTATTTGGCTAATGTGGCGAAACTGTGGTACACAAACCACGAATCCGAGTTTCCGAACTCGGCCACTTTCAAGCAGGCAATATCCTCGGTTTTCGGTCGCCCTGCCGTGTGGAAGTTGTGCGCCGAACAACGCCTGCGCTCACGGGCACAAGGACCTGGCGAAACGTTTACCGCCTATATCGAAGATATACTCGATCTCTGCAAGCGCGTCGATGCCGCAATGAGTGAAAGTGCCAAGATCCAGCACTATATGAAAGGTCTTGATGACGACGTCTTTCAAATGCTCCTGGCGAAGTCTCCTGGCACGGTGTCTGAAGTGGTAACTCTGTGCCAGAACTACGACGAATTGCGACGGCAACGAGCTCTCACCCGTCGTCCATTTCAGCCTAACCAACCACTCGCTGCACTGGACGTCATACCTGACCACTCACGCCTTCTAGCACAAATGAAAGACTTTGTGCGTGAGGAGGTCGCACGTCAGCTTTCCCTCCTGCCGTTTTGTCAGCGCCAAGAGCTCCCGCAGCAGCAGCAAGAGCAACCACCGACACCGTTAGCTCCCATGCTCCGACATGCACCTAAGGACCAGATTGCCGAGGCTATGCCAGTGCCCTTTCAGCAGCAAGTTGTCGCCGCGCCTCTTACTTATGCTGACGCAGTAAAGAGGCAGCAGCCACACCAGCCCTCGCCGTTCAATGTACTGCCGCATGTCACCGCTCCTTCTCAGTCTTCCGTCGCATGGGCTCCTCCCCTCGCTACCACAGCCTCGACTCAGCCGTATGCCGCGTGGGCGGCGCCCCTTGCTGCAAATGCCTGGCGAACGCGCGATAACCGGCCGATCTGTTTTGCGTGCGGCGGACCTGGCCATATCTCCCGATACTGCCGTCGTCACGTGCCCACCTACACAGACGTCCGACCACGAAGCAACTACATGGACCAACCACCTTTTGGTTATGAAAGTTGGGATCGTCAGTCAAACACGTCTTCCCGTGACTATCCAGCAACTTCGTCTCGTCGCTCACCTTAACCCAATCGATGCTCCTTGTCACCCATGCATCCACGACCAGCCCCTCAAAATGAGGGAAACTAGCCGTCGCAGTTCAAGGGGCAAGAACTGCGCTATCGAAATCTTCAAGTCCTCGCACCTTGCCGTCAAATATCGTCGAAGTTATTGTAGACGGCACCCATGCATACGCTCTTGTGGATACCGGTGCCGCTGTGTCTGTTATAGACGCCAAACTTTGCCGCAAGCTCCGAAAGGTGACCACGCCGCTTGATATGTTCTTACGTGCAGCAAATGGAGAACCTGTTCGACCTATAGCCGCCTGCACTGCCCGACTGAAAATTGCGTAGGACCACTACATTGTTGAGTTTATCGTCCTTTCCTCGTGCTCTCATGACATCATACTTGGCTGGGATTTCCTTTCCCGTAATCGTGCCGTTATAGATTGTGCCCGTTCCGAACTTGAACTGCTTCCGTTCTTCGACCAGCCCTACGACCACACTAATCAAACCGCGCACAAGCTAGTTGTCAAAGAAGACACTGACATTCCACCGACAACAGCTGTTTTGCTCCCTGTGGTCTCCGACGGCATGCGTGATGAAGTAGCATTTTTCGAGCCATCAAGCCTCTTTCTAAGTCGGAAACCACTTCTGCTCCCTTATTCAGTCCTCTCAATGAGCCAGTGCTCTCTGCCTTACCAATCACTTTCCGCATACTATCAAACTGTTTAAAGGCGAGTCTCTTTGATGCTTACAGCCCATTGATAACGAACAAATTTTACCGTGCCGCAAGAATCATCCCAAAGTGACCTCGCCTCCGTCAGTGCTCTTAACCACTCTCATCTACAGGCTTCAAAAGTGTTCGATTCGGCGATCGCAGACGGACTGTCACCATTTGAACGATCTGAACTCCTCCAACTGCTGTACCAGTACCGCGAATCTTTCGATGTTGTTCAACCTTCACTTGGCCGCACTTCTACCACTCTACATTACATCGATACCGGCTCCCATGCGCCACTACGACAGCGACCATATCGTGTTTCCGCGGCGGAACGCCAACTTATGACCGAACAGGTGAACGATATGCTGCAACGTGGCGTCATTCAACCTTCACAAAGTCCATGGGCCTCACCTGTAGTGCTCGTTAAAAAAAGGATGGTTCCGTTCGCTTCTGCGTGGATTACCGGCGCCTAAATAAGGTCACTCGAGGAGACGTGTATCCTTTACCCAGGATTGACGATGCCCTTGATACTTTACAAGGTGCCGAGTTTTTTTCATCATTAGATTTGCACTCAGGGTACTGGCAGGTCCCCCTTGCAGATGCCGATCGACCAAAAACAGCCTTAGTGACACCGGATGGTCTGTATGAGTTTAATGTCATGCCCTTCGGCCTCTACAATGCGCCTGCCACCTTCGAGCGCATGATGGACTTGGTTCTTCGGGGTTCTAAATGAAAAATCTGTCTCTGCTATCTCAACGATATAGTCGTCTTTGCGCCAGACTTTGGAACAGATCTCGAGTGCCTCAAACACGTCCTCACGTGCCTGAAGAATTCTCAGCTCCAACTCAACCTCAAAAAGTGTCACTTCGCTGCTCGGCACCTTACGATTCTCGGGCACGTCGTATCAAAGGACGGTATACTTCCAGACCCGGCTAAGTTACGTGCTGTCGCCGACTTCCCCAAACCAACGACTATGAAGCAGTTACGGAGCTTCGTGGGGTTACGCTCCTACTTTCGCCGGTTCGTGCGCAACTTCGCCTCTATCATCGCGCCTTTGACCAAACTTATAGGCATCACCACTGATATTTCGTCATGGTCTTCTGAGTGTGACCCCTTTCTGTACCCTTCGTCGTCTCCTCACTTCGCCACCAATACTTTGTCACTACGATCCTACGGTAGCAACTGAGGTCCACACCGACGCCAGTGGTGTCGGCCTCGGTGCGGTTCTTGCGCAACGCAAGCCTGGATTCGCCGAGTATGTCGTCGCCTACGCCAGCAGAACTCTTACCAAGGCTGAATCAAACTACAGCGTCACCGAGAAGGAATGCTTCGCGATCGTTTGGGCGCTTGTCAAGTTCCGCCCATACCTTTATGGCCGTGCTTTTGATGTAGTAACGGACCACGACGCATTATGGCGGTTATCTTTGCTTAAGGACCCATCGGGTCGTCTTGCCCGTTGGGCTCTTCGGCTTCAAGAATATGACATTCGCGTGGTATATATCGTTCCGGCCACAAGCATGCCGATGCTGAAGCACTGTCGCGATCTCCCCTATCCCCGGACATCGCATCTGTTTCCTCGGACAACATGTTGTCAGCGCTTGACGAGGACACCATCTCTTCTGCACAACGCAATGACCCATGGATCGCTTAGCTTCTTGACGCGTTATCCGAG